TTTATTTTTTTGGCAATGCCCAAAAGTGAAAGTGGCTACGAACTATGCAGCCAGGCAGCCCATTAAATTGCACCCAATAAAAGGCAACAATTACGAGCCCGTAACTTGTCTGTGTCTTTGGCTCTTCTGTGTGCGTGTTCCTGTGTTTGCGTGTGCGTATGCGTGACAGTGGCTCAATATAATTTGCAGCTTTCAATCTCGCACTGCACTCAAATTCACACTTTGTCAATTTTGGTGTCAAGTGGGGCTAAGCAAGTCACAAGTGGCACGCCCCCTAGTGAAGCCACTTTACTGGTTGTAGTTATCGTTGTGAATTATCAACAGCAGCTGCAGTTGACCACGCCTCTCTTCTAGCACTTCATGGGCGTGCGCTTGTCGTTCTTTATGGTGACAAATTAAATGGAATGTCAAGCAAGTGCAAGTCCCTTCCATCCCCCACCCCACTGCTGTTACTTGCGGTTGCGTTTACTGGAAAGAGGGAAGGGGTGGCAGGAAAGTGGGCCAGGAGCTGGCTACTTGCAGCCTTAAGTTAACGACACGCTCAATAATGCGAACGGAAGTGCGCCCAGCGCCATTTTTCAATTTGTACGCGCCGGAAATGGCAAAGACGTCGAAGAGCAACTTTTAATGCTTAAGAACCCAACTGCATTCCGCCTGTCAAAGACGCTAACAGTGAAGAAGGCATTGCTGGTGTGTTTCTAGTTGACAGAGTTTCACAGCCAAAAATATTTGAAACAGTAAAAGGTTGATAAAAAGGAATATGAGTTATACACAGCTGCTTGACACACGAAGTTTCTTGAAATAACAAATAACATAGTTTGGTTAGACTCAAACACTGTGTATACTTATGTCCAAATATTAAATATATGAAATAAACAGCTGACTAGCAGATCAGCTTAGGGTATGCTAGCATATATAGGTCAAGAAAGACACCAGCTGAATATTCAATGCAATGTACCCCTTAATAAACCATACTCTGTACAGGATATTAACATGATTGCGGGTAAGAAGACAGCTTATTGCATTTCCCACATGTCTACGGATCAGGCGCAGATTGCGACCTGCCCAGCATTCGCTGCTTTTGCTGCTGGCGTGAAATTCGATAACTTTGAAGGTCAAGCGAATGTGAAAGCCACATTAGCTATGCACATAGATAGCCCAGCAGACAAGCACACAAGACACATGCACACACGCACCCATACTCACATATATGTATTTATATAGTTATATACAAATCGAAGCAATTAAAGTGTCTTTAGCGTCGAGTGTTACGAGCCCATAACTGATGTTGACTTTTTTCTCCTGATTTTTTTTTTTTTTTTGCTTTTATTTTTGGGTCTGTTTTCAATTTCCACGCAATCGTAAAACAATAGCGAGTGCTATCTATGCTATATGGTCGTATATTTGTGTGTGTCTGTGTGTGTGAGTGTATGAATTCTCATAGCAAACAAATAAACAAACAGTTTGCAGACAGCGACAGCAGCTGCCGAGTTTCCCGGCCCGCAGCAGTGGTCGCGTCTTTCAACAGCAGCCGCCGCACTCCCCACTTGGTCGCGATAAAATGCCTGCCTGCGGGGGTAAGCATAGGGCCAATGCCTTATCAATGCCAAGCCACGTTAAATACTAACAATGCGACATGGCCACAAGCAAAAGGATACGATTTCATGCAGCTTCACATGGAGCGGCAGACGCGGCGTATGCGCAACTTTAAGTGAACTTTCGCGTTAAAAACGCAGCCAAACGAAATGTCGCTCACTGATAAAGGACGAAGACCGCATCGAGTACCAGAGAGAGAAAGGGATATATAGATGCAGAGAGTGAGCACGCCTAAGCACATTAGTTGTACGTCCAAATACAACCCATATGTATGTACATACATATATACATACATATATGAAGATATATGGAATGTATGTGCTGTATATATGTGTATGTGTGTGTGTGTATTGCAATGTGAGATGTGCTCGAAAAATTATAAAAGTTTCATCCGAACGTATATTATAATTGGTTAGGGAATTAATAAACTAAGAAAAACTGTTAATTTTCAAAGAAAAGGCGTAATCAAGCGTTTAATTTTGTCCAATTATCTATTTATATTTATCCAATTTGCAACGTACGTAAGTTTGAATATTCGATAAATTATGAATTTTAGAAACATCGACAAATTATTGCGATCCGGTCTGTGCAAGATGTCGGATATAAAGTGCATACTATTTCCTGTACTTCTCCAGCTCATCTCGCTTAGGTATACTACACACATATATATATATGTATGTATAACAATGGCATTGTTTGAGAGTTGAACAAACAGACAAACACTCACTGTAAATGTTACTTTAACGCGCAAACAGAGACAAGTTGGAGGGGTTAGATGGCTTAGATGATGCTGGCCCGGTTGCAGGCAGCCTCCCAGGCTGGACAGAGAATTCACATAAATAAGCGCAAGTGGCAGCAGCTGAGAGCTGAGAGCAAACATTCTTAGACTGTTGCAAGAGCTACCTCCTCAGCGGCTCAGTTGGAATTTAAAGTACGAGAAAACAATTGAAAGTAACGCAGAAAAAACGAAGAGGGAAAAATACATATCTAAATATGTATATAGCTCACTTAGAAATTCTTTTCTCTTACTATAAATAATTAATCAAACTCAATCAATAGACAAGTATTAGGGTGTGAGTCCAAGGGGAGCAAAACCCGGGAAACGCGCACCACAACAAAAATCGAAAATAGTTTCAACTAATTGCTATTCAGCGGATAATTACCAGGATCATTTCGTAGGATATGTCAATTTAAGGGGTTTTTTCCAGAAGCAATTTTCTGGCCCATCAGCCACTGTGAACATTCGAGCCACCGCAGCCACTCGGAGGCCACAATTGAAAACAGCTCCTGTTTGGTATCCTTTGTCGGTCCCACACCAGCGCTGTCCCGGCATTCCAACTAGCTAGATTAATTTAGCTCGAGTCACAAATACAATTACGAAGTCATTTCAATTTATTTAGCGTATGGCACCCCACAACACCAACAACAACGAAATAAAGCCACGAAATAAAGTCGAGGGTGCTAGAATCGAATGAGGAATACGCCAAAATGGGTGCGGGAGACGGAACTATAGAAGTCAGTTGCCTCAGAGCAGCCACACATTAAAGCCATTGCTTGACAAAGTGTTTGAAATCTATTTATATTTAGAGCTTTAATTTAATTTTATTATGATTATTAATTGTTGCAGTCTAAATTCAATTTCGTTTGAATTGTCGATTTTATACTTAAACTGAACTTGTTTCTTACATCATCTCAGTCTGAACCGGAAGCTAAGGATGTCATCGCCCTGAACTCATACAAACAAAAACAACCACAGCTGAAACTAATTGATTCGATTCGCGTTGCTTATTATGTTAAACAGTAAAAATCTTTAAAACGTTTAACCAATCGAGCATCGCTTTCTCTAAAACACGCTTGGGTGTGAGGTTAAACATATTCATTCATCGAATAATGTTCCATAAAAACTTGTAGTCACCGTATGATAAATAACATCCTTTTTTTTTTTTTGGTAGGCGAACAGTTAAATATGTGGCAGGGTATTCAATCTCCATCAGGCCTCAGATACCTTCAGGGTTGTTTTATTTTTTAAGCCAACTCGGCGATTTGTCAAAGTGCCTGCCAAGTGCCCCACTAACTCGAACCATTATTGAGCGATAAATTGATTAGATATGCGACTATTTATATAGTATACATCTTAATGTGTGTGCGTGTGTGTGTGCACACTTGCTGCTGCTGATGCTTATTGCTGCCTCAAATTGTCATTTCAATGTTAATTTTATTAGGGTGTCAGCTATAAATTGCCTTCAATCTTAAATACCATAAAAAGCGTTACATCTACTACACACTCTCTACACACACACAGGCACACGCATGCCTGTGCGACATATTCACAGTGTGGCATATACTGCTATAGCATATATATGCTACAGACTATCCACTAAAGGGCCAAAAGCGCTTTCCATTATCATCAACAGCTTTGAACCTTATTCAAATCTCTGCTAAATTATACCAAATTCTAGGGGTGTGAATGTGAGTGTATGTGTGTGGGTGTGAATGCGTGCGTGTATTTGAGGGCACCCCTAACCGGCTTTTGGGCTGTAGGCCACAAGTTATCCATCAAAGTGCCGCTGCTATTCGCACTCGCACTCGAGCCAACATCAACACGCTCCGCATGTAAGTTGGTATTTGGTCGTAACCATAAACCGTTTGAGATTTACATGCACGCCGCTCGATCCGTGTATTTGCGGTCGAGGTTTTTGGCATTGGAGATGCGAGTATAACGCATGACACGAACCTAACTGTAATAAGGCTGGCCCGAGAGGTTTTTGGGAACAAATATATAATAATAAGTAAAAGAAAATTCGCTAAAACAGAAATATTATTCTATTGGAACCCTAAGTTCTCTTTGGCAAAAGACAATAATGAGTGATTCAATTAATAAATGCTCTTCAAGTTCGGTTGTGCTTATAATTGAACGCTCTCATCTCTAGCTGCAGCCCTCTGCTCCTTCAATCTGCTATATCCTCAGTCGTAGCTCTGCGACAGCTGTGCTGTCCATGAAACTTAAACTGTAATTGAGTCCGAGCTGAGTACCATGTTTGTTTTGCAGTATTTATGATTTTCAATATTGATGTCCTAGCACACACACACTCGCACTGGGTCTCTAACATCTATTAATTTATATAAGTAAGCTGAACTTCATGGCGCTTCATTTGTCTTTCTACTCGAGAAAGTTTTAAAAACAATTATGCGAGCAAAAAATGTCCACTGGCCACGAGTATCCTTTGTCCTTTGGCCAATTTAGCTTTATTGTCCTGCACTGAGTCATTCGTGGAGCGGCTCCTGTGACTGGTCCTCGGTCTTCAGTCTGCCTGATGGCCATTGTCAACATCGTTAAAGTCGCATTTTTAAGCCAAATGTGGCACAAACTGCCTTGTTATGTCATTTGGGTACATTGAACCCAGACTCCGGACAACGCATGACAGGACAACAAAGCTTGGGCGAAAGGACATGCGAAACAGCATCCGCATCACAATCTCCATCGAAAAGGGGGCGAGCGCGGGGCCGGAACATAACCAATATGGTGTGCACATAATGAATTTATCAAATTAATCAAAATAGCGCTGCCACTGCAAAGGGCAGGCACAAGCAAAACGGAAGTCCTTGCTACTGTCCTCTCCACTCCGAATATGTGTGTGAGAGAGTGTTTTTGCATGTTTGCTTGTATGTGTGCGTGTAATACAATTAAGCATCATAGGGACTTGCGCAAAAATGGAGATTTAATAAAGCCATTTCGAGTGATGTGGCAGAGCCTTAGCAGAGTGATAATCGTCAGTTAGCCAAGAGTAGAGATTGCAGCCAGGGTTGTCATCTGTCTTTAAAATAGATAAAATAGTTTTAGTCATTCATAGCTGAGCGATCACATAAATAGGAGAATTGTTTTCACAACTCAACCAAATCAGCATGGGGAAGTAATATGTAAAATGTAAATTAACATAACATAACTAAATATCGAAATAAAAAATTTGAAAGCACTGTCCTGCAATTGGGGCCTTACAAAAACATGGCAGCCCTGAAGGCAATTAAAATCCAGTCAAAGACAAACATCGAGTATATGTGAGTGGAGAAGGGGACGAGACGGAGAGGTGGTGTTAATCGCATTCGTCGGATGCTTTAATGTTATGTAAATGGCAGGGCCTAATGAACTTTCCACTCATTATCGTTAGTTAGTTAGCCGGACCGGGTCTCGGCCCGGATGCGTGTCCGGTTAGTTGTAAGAGGCTGCCATAGGCTACTTAAATGCTAATCCCAGACACTTTTGCTACCACAGGATATAATCCAATTGGCTGCTGCTGCTGTTGCTGTTACTGTTGGCAACAGGGACAACCACAAAGCCCCACTGATTGATTTGTTTAATGTCGCCGCGGGGCAGCTATGCAGGAGAATAGGCGGAAGGAGACGTAAGGAGCTGCAACTGGAACGGACATCGTAAACTTAACGAACTCTTAATTTCATTAACGCATATTTAAGAAGCACGGCTCCAAGGAGGGAGGGAGACGCTCGCTCGGCCCCCCAACCCTAGCCGAATCAAACAGCGGGGCGCTGCGTAAACGGTAAAGTCCACTAATGTTAACTGATGCCATTTTCTTACTGTTGCTTGAATTCGTTTAGTATCACATATATCTTTTATTCACATGGTTAACTTCTTTAAGAAGACTTTTATAAACTCAGTTTTCTTCCCTAAGAGTTGCTAAAGTCAGCCAACTGCTAAAAAATATCGAAATTTGCAGCATAAAGTGGACGCCCTTGACGCAGGACGACGACATTGTTAAGCGGCTGCCTCGGCGTCGCTGCTGCCTCACAAGCTGTGGCCAGGCGCAGGCAGCAGCCGCGGCTGATACTGTTGCTAGTTCTGCTACCAATAACTATAACAGTAGCAGCAAGCACAACAACAACAATAACAACAGAAACAGCAATAACAACAATATCACCTCAAGATGCTGCTGCAACAAGGACGACGACGCAGCACGCTGGGCTATCCCGTGGCGCTGCTCGTGGCGACCATGGCGCGTACAACACAACTAATAGTATTCCAGCCTACAACAACAGCAACAACAATTACGACATTAGCAGCAACAACGCCAGCGACAAGGGCAATGCAAGCGCCAGCGATGCGTTCGCCGAAGGGGATGCTGAGCAGATGCTGCCACAGATTCCGTCGTATATACGCACAACCGCCATGTTCTTCTGCATAATCATAATGCTGCTGGGCGTCATCGGGAATGTGATGGTAAGTTTGGTGATTGATTGATTGAGTGACTCACCAAATGCCTTACATCCTCAGTGAATTGCTGAATGATGATGATGATGAATTTTGTGATTGACTGATTATTGACTCACCAAATACTTTATTCGCTTTCTCTGACTTACTAACTGACTAACTGACCAACTGAATAACTGCTGACTGAACTGTGTGTAGATGGACTGACTGCTAGCTTTGCTGATTAACTGAATGACTGGCTGGCTAACAGATAGACTGACCCACCGATAACCTGACTAGTTATCAGACCAGAATATTTGGCTTTTTAGCTGAACTCCCATTCCTCCGTTCCCTTCGCAGGTGCCCATTGTTATAGTGAAGACAAAAGATATGCGCAATTCCACAAACATTTTCCTAACCAACTTGAGCATTGCCGACTTGCTGGTGCTGCTCGTCTGCACGCCCACCGTCCTCGTCGAGGTGAACACACGTCCCGAGACTTGGGTGCTGGGACACGAGATGTGTAGGCTCCAATCAATTTATCAATTTTACTTTGTTTCGATATTATTGAAGTTTTTTTGGTCTTTAGGCAAGGCTGTGCCTTTCGTGGAGCTGACTGTGGCACATGCCAGTGTTCTCACCATTTTAGCCATTTCCTTCGAGAGATACTATGCCATCTGCGAGCCATTGAAGGCAGGATATGTGTGCACCAAGGCCCGCGCGATTCTCATCTGCGTCCTTGCTTGGGGCATTGCTGCGCTCTTTACGAGGTAAGTGTGGACTGCCTCTACCTTTCCCATTGGCTCGCTTGCTACAATTCATATTTTATCATTATTATCATTGAATCTGTCGAGTATTTTCGTATTCTTAACATTTTCTCTTGCATGCTCTGATTATACTTGCTCGCTGACTCGCTTTCTCTATCTTGCCCCTGCTATTTATAGTATACTGGTATTAACAGCAATAATAAAGCCAATTCCATTTCCATTTTCATTTTCATTTCCGTTTCCATTTCCCATTTCTGTGCGCTGTGTCTATGCAGTCATTTACTCATTAATTATAAGTGTCAATCGCGGCCATTTTTAATGTTTTGTGTTTTGTTTTCCATTTGGCCGTTTCCTCTGTCGTTTTTATGGCACTACATTGGGTATCCCACCTTTACGTCACGAAATGTAACCATGTGCAAAACTATAGCTGACGTGAATTGTTCTTAGCTTTGTAAACAGTTCCAATAAAATATCTATTATATAATATACTTATAATATCAAAGTCAGAGAAATCTCTGATAGTGTATTCATTATTCGATGTGACGACAACGCCAGCTACTTTAGGTCTGCTTCTGGTCTTTGTTTAACTTCAACTCCGACTTCTCCATTTACATGCTAAACATTGGCAGTTAGTGTTACGTCTCGCCCCGTATAGCCGACTTTCTTCTCATTCCTTACGCATCCTCGCAGTTTGGTCTTTGGGTCCTCGTGATTTTTTGTTCGGCCTAATTCAGCTTGGGACTGCCCATTGTGCCCCATTGGCTGTCATTATCTGCCCGCTGTCATCTTTAATAAGCATCCGGAAATGTGGGCTATCATTGAAGAATTTACATTTCATTGACACTCTATTATTGCGACCGTCCCAAGGACGGTCAACGACCCTTTTTAATTTCATAAATCCTGCAGCGCAGCGTGTGCCTACGTGGGCGGTAGGTGGTAGGCGTGGCTGTTGGTGGCGCCTAGCGCTCATTAATTAGGCTAAACTAGAATTTGTGCCAATACGCCTATCGTCCAGAGGAGACGCATGCACATGATTCAGGCATGTTGAAGTTGACCTCCCTTCTGTTCTTGACCTAGCAATATATCTGTGACAGCTCTGTATCTCTCTGTATCTCTCTATATCTTTCTGTCTCTCTCTCTCTCTCTCTATCTTTCTCTCTCTATATCTCTGTGTGTATTGGTGTTGATCTATTTTGCCGTGTGCCTCTTTTATCTCTCTCTGTCTTTCTCTCAGCCTTTCTATCTGTACCTCACTATCCTTCACTCTCCCTCTGGCTGTGCATCTATGAAAGATCCTTTTGTGTCGTTTCATCATTGTATTTCTTTTTCTTTCCCATTCCTATTTCCATGTGGCTCTATCAACACATACATATAACACATATTGTATAACTGATTTTGTGTTTTTCTTTATCTCACTCACTCTCATTTTGTCGTTACTGCCTCTGTCTCCCTCTATTCGTCGGCCTTTTGTCGTTATCTGATCTGCTAACCGTAATGATTACTTCTGTTTATACCTCTATTAGAGAGAGACCCATCTCCACTTCCATTTCCATCTGTCTCTCTCTCTCTCTCTCTCTCTGTTTTCATATGTCCAGCATATATGTATGTCGTTACCTTGTTTCTCATCCTTCAACGTGATTTCTCTCCCTCTCTATCGCTCTCCAAATATCGTTCTCTCTCTCTCTCTCTCTCTCTCTTATAGCCCCATACTTTGGGTGGCTGAATACAAGCTGGTTGAGTATATTGATGGATCATCGGTACCCGTTTGCCTGACCCAAGCAATTGGCGTATCGACCGTCGGTTTCTTTTTGATGACTATTTCCGTGTTCTTCGTTCTACCGTTTCTCATGCTGATTGTACTGTATAGCATAATTGCGCGGAACCTTATCTCCAACCAGGGCGCCATGCTTCGTGCTCGACCCACGAAGCCGGAGTTGAGCTTAAAGGCGCGCAAGCAGGTGGTGCTCATGCTGGGCGCTGTGGTGCTATCCTTCTTTATCTGCCTGCTGCCCTTTCGCCTTCTCACGCTGTGGATCATACTGAGTACGGATCAGACGTTGCACGATATGGGCCTGGTTCGTTATTACAGCTTACTCTACTTTTGCCGCATCATGCTCTATCTCAACTCGGCTATGAATCCCATTCTCTACAATCTGATGTCCACTAAGTTTCGCAAGGGCTTCGCTCGCCTTTGCCACGACGTGGGCCAATTGCTCTGGCAGCTGCTCACTCTGGAAAGCAAGCGGCGCAATGCAAGTGAATCACGGGGCCAACAATCTACGGGCTCTGGCACCAACACGAACTCCTCAAATGCAACGGCTGCCACAAACTCGAGCATCTTGTCACGTAGCTCAAATCGACGCAGCAGTGAAGAAATTAGTCGCACGCGCTTAAAGATCGAGCTTCACTTGCCCTGCGGCAGCGAGTTGGAGGCCATGGCCATGCTTCAGCATTCAACGTTGCGTAGCAAACGACGTCCAAAGCAGCAAATCAGTTTCGATGAGGACACAGGCCAAGCAGGAGCAGCAGCAGAAGAAGCAGTGGTCGAAGGGAACAACGGAGCAGTATCTCGAGCAGCTGTGTAGGCATGAAAAATAGTGTGTAACCCGTTTGCACTTACGCTTCACTTAGCTGGCAAGCCACGCCCATAATGGATGCCATTGAAATCGTTGACAGGACCCAAGCTCAATTCCTGGCCGTTTCTTTCCATTCACATATTTCCGCACACACACAAAAAACAATCAATTTTTCGGGCTATTAAACTCGAATGAATGTGCCAAAGATAAATAACAGCAACGACAGCCAAAGCGGGATACCATTGAGATTGGGGCGGGGGCGTGGTAGAGCTATTAACTGGCATGTAAAAAGCAGAGCAAATGGAAATTTCTCTATATGCGCTTTGCGTGTCCATCAGCACGCAGGATAAACCTGATTTAGTTGTATTGAAATACGCTTTCCCAGCAACTCGTTTTTGGTCCACCCCAAAGCTAGAAAAATAGTGTTGCCGACTTTGCGGAGAAAATACAATTCAGAAATGCACAACTCGCATGTGCGCACACACACACACACACACACACACACACACACGCATAACTATTTATACATACATATAATCCCAAATGTACTTACTTTGTATAGTAGAGGCGCCCATATTGTAAGTAAATAAACCATTTTTGTATTACAACTAAACATATTTGTTTATTCATATGCAATGCGTTGCCCAATTTTTTATCTGATTAGAATCTGCCCGAATATTTGTAAATAGTATATTTCTACAGTGAAAGCGACTTTAACGAACAACTTGAGCTTACCATGGTCTTATAACCACTTCCTCGACTTGGAAAATAAATAAATTATTATTGTAACTTAACAAAAAACCGATGATATTGGAGACATATTTTTTTAACTAGCCCATATTAGTAAAATTATTGAATTGTAGTTTATGTAATTTAATTTTCACTTACATACGTCTTCAACCATGTTAAGGAGTATTCATTGTAGCTTCCAATAAACTTGCTTCCTTTTACTTCGGAATTTTCGAAAGTTTCAAGTATGGCCGAGCTTTCACATTAAATCTTGTCCATATGTATAACAACTGTCATTTATAACTATATGTGTATATAGATGTGTATAAACAACTGTAAAGCAGACGTTTCCGTTTTCGTTCTTTGATCGCCTCGACTGCCGACAATTTGCTCAACTAATACATACATATATAGCTTTAGATATGGGTTTTGTTTTTGAATGCTCAAAGTTTTCAGACATCTTTATGAGCACATGGATACATCATATACATATGACATATGATTATAATTCTTGCAGTCCAATTATCGCCATCTCAAGCTACAGCGTGGAGCCTTATGGGGATGGCACCGATGCCCCCGTTTGCACCACGGCCGCGGATGGCTTTTGGCCCATCGTCTACTTTGTGAGCACCATTACTCTCTTCTTTTTTCTTCCCTTTGGCATCCTAGTGGTGCTCTATGCAGCCATCGCGTACAAGCTGCTGCGTCCAAACAGTGCATTCCACAGACCAACCTCGCCGCAGCTGCAGGCAAGCCAACAACAACAACAGCAGCAACAGCATACGTCTAGCTCAAAGGGCAGCAGCCATCAGCAAAGCAATGGAATGAGGAAGCATCGCAAGCAGGTGATCTTCATGCTGGTGGCCGTGGTGTCCAGCTTCTTCGTCTGCCTTCTGCCCTTTCGCGCCTTTACTCTGTGGGTGATCACGGCCAGCGCAGAAGATGTACAACATCTGGGCATTGCGGGCTATTACAATCTACTGTATTTCTCACGCTTTATGCTCTACCTTAACTCGGCCATGAATCCCATACTCTACAATTTGATGTCGTCCAAGTTTCGTAGCGGCTTTTGGCGTCTGCTGCTAAGTTGCTTTGGTCAGCGGTCTCATCATCATCATTATCATCATCACGGTTATTATCATTATCCCACATTGGCCGGACGAAGTCAGCGGAGGACCACGCATCGCCAGGACCAAGGGCCTAATGGGGAGGATGAAGGTGGCGCTGCTCTTAACGTGGGTCAAGCTCAACGGGTGCGCCGCACACTACGCCGCGAGGCCACCTTTCTGATTAACTCCATATCCACGTCGTCGGGCACTGAACGTAACACCTCCTCCACCTGGCGCAGCAACAGCCTGTCCACCTCCATAGGACTAGGTGAACGAGAGCGGGAGAGGGAACGCGAACGCGGGCACCTTGGAGCCGCCATAGTTGGCACCACAGCTGCCACAGTTACCACTGCCTGTCTGCATGAGCGAAGCGCTAACAAAATCTGAGCTCAAATTGTATTTAGTTGAATTCAAGCACATTTAGTCCATAGTCATAGTTTATAGAAGAAATTTTATTTGTAAAGACTGAAGTACCTCAGAAGAAGTCAATAAACCTAGAAAAGATTTGTTTTGGAAATCAAAGCAATATGTAATCCTTCCAATTTCATTTGGGATGCATTGGAAAAATATGAACATAAATGGGATTAAACATTTGAATGCCGATCGGCGGATTTTATGCGACTGATGATTTTTTCGGGCTCAAATATTTAAAAAAGTTGTAGTGAATGCATAAAGACAGATAGAACATTTCTGTTTCTTCAAAGCCACAGAATCGTACATCCCGGCCATAAATGTGCTTCGTCTTCTGTTTATAAAATTTTATTAAACGCCTCTCATAGTCAATATTATCATCATCGAATATTAATCTATATATATGTAATTATATACAGTCGACTCTCGTTATTTCGAAATTCAAGGGACTCTTAAAATATTTCGAATTATCGAATGTTTGAAATATTAAATGGTTCGAAATTTTAAGAGGAAATAAATAAAACTTTGAATTATCAAGGGTTTTTATTTAACGTAATGTACATATGTTCAAATTAATTAAGCTTTATAAAACACTCATTTATACGGTTTGCTTGGAAGCACACTGCTTCTGCTCGGCCTTTTAATAATTTGTTAGATGCAAAAAAGACCACGCGCAGTAAAGTTAGTTTCAGGGGAGTCCCAAAATTCAAATTCAAATTTCTTACTAATACATCAAAAAACTTCGCAAATTCGAATTGTCGAGTGTTTAACCATATGAGTACGAATTACCGCATCTTAGCAATGATTTTTTAATTTGAATTACTGAGTGCATAAAAATGTATGGACTTAATTCGAAATATAAAGAGATTTTGTAGGGGATTCGTGATAACTTTGAATTAATGAGCGGTTCGAAATAACGCAGGTTTGAAATAACAAGAGTCGACTGTATATATATTATTTTTATTTTATTTGCCTAAGCAAATCCTACGCGATTCTCTTTCACACAAATTTGTTTTTAATGCTAGTAAACTGTTATCCCTTTTTGATTTACATTATAATTACAATATGACAAACAAGCGGCTGAATAGTTAAGATGATGTGAAATATGAGCTATCTGGTAACTACACATAACTACATAAAGGATCTAGACTATAAGAAACGCAGTTTTTGTTTGCTCTTTTATTTTCGATTTTGTTTTCATTAACTTGTTTATGGATATAAGAATTAATAGTAATCGATATCGGTACCGCTATTGCTATCGCCATCGTTATCCGTATCGTCTTGCGCTGCTGTGGTAACTCTTAAGTTTAGTTTAAATTTATATTATATTAATTAATACACCAGTTTATAAGTTTTTTTTTGTATTTTTGCACTACTTATGAACAGAACTATAGAAACAGAAGAGCAATAGTCAGAGGGGTAAGGGTAGTACATAGTAGAATATATCCATTGTGTGTGTGATTTAATTGCGAAAATTGTGAATTGCAGTATCATTGAAGGGTCCGCTTTTTCTCATACTTTTCACTACTCATCATTATTATTACTATTATTATTATTATTATTATATAATTCCATTTCTTTTTTTATTGTTATAATTTGCATGTTTATTATTTTTGCCGTGTTTTGTTTTGTTTTAATTTATTATATTTAAATTTTGTTTAATTGTATAATAAAATAATGATTCACAATCAGAGTTATTCAGCAGCAGCCAGATCTGGTGTTCTCCACTGGACGCCCTTGATCGATTTTCACTTTGCTTGCATTGTCGGTGGCACTGGACGGCGGACCGACACGATTCTTAATCTCGGCAGCCATCGTCATGAATGCCTGTTCCACATTGGTGGCGCTCTTGGCCGAAGTTTCAAGGAATGGAATGCCTAGCTGATGTGCGTACTCCTGCGAATGTTACGAGTTATAGCATAATCAATTAGTTTTACAAAGTTGCAGTAGGGGATTTTCAGTCTTACCGCAGCTGTTGTATGATCAACAACTTTCTTAGTGGTTAAATCACTTTTGTTGCCCACCAGCAACTTGTTAACGTTTTCGCATGCATATCGCTCGATTTCTTCCAGCCATTGCTTTACATTATTGAAGGATTCCTGGTCCGTGCAATCGTAAACAACAATAATGCCGTGTGCACCACGATAGTAGGACGATGTGATAGTACGGAAGCGCTCCTGTCCAGCAGTGTCCCACTACAATATATATATGATATAATTTTGATTTACTCTCTGCATAGGCTGGCGCACTTACAATTTGCAATTTAATCGTTTTGCCATCCAATTCTATGGTTCTAATTTTCTGTAAGCAATAACAGGTTGAGTGTCATACATTTGTGTGCGATTACGAATGTGGTAAGACTTACAAAATCCACTCCAATCGTACTGATATAGCTCTCTGTATATGTGTCATCAGCGAATCGAAGCAGCAGACAGGACTTTCCAACGCCAGAATCGCCGATCAACAGCAGTTTGAAAAGATAATCGCTGTAAAAGCAAAAAAATGCGCGCTTTACTTAAGGTATATATTTCAACATCATATCGCTTAGCGCAACAGCTCTATTATATTGCTTATCTTATCGCATACACATAGTTGAAAAGACCTGCTAATATTCACTGTTTGGCAATTAATCTCTATAAATGTTACTCTCATGCTCCACCACGAATGCAGCTGCACCTACAGTGAAAGCTCTATCGAGCGAAAGTCAATTTTGTGATATTGTTTTTGTTTGTTGTTTTGCTCTATGACCAACGTAACTTATTTAATTTGTAAACATTTTACAGATAAATAAGTAAAATGGATAAAAAAAAAAAAAAAAATTTAATCATAGACTTAGTAGAATTATATTAATAAACAAATCGATTTTCATTCATTTGTATGAAGAGTTCCTAAAATTTTAATACTTGTTTGTCAAGTTTAAAATAAGATTTACGCTAATATAAAAAGAGAAACTCATTAGGCTTTGGTTCAAATTCTCTTTTGAAATTGTAAGGACAAAGTTTGAATTATGAATAATAAAATAAATAAAAGAATATTTCTCAATTACGTGTAAGCGAATCAGAGAATTTCAAGTTCAATTACAACGAACGAAAACATAAAACACTCAACATAGATGGGAAATTGATTACGTAGCAGCAGCAGCAGCGACAGAAAAAAATAAAAACAACACAACGGCGCAGCGTAAAGCAGTCAAACAACAACAATGTGTGCACAAGGAGGGGGTTGGAGACGCTGGGCAGGTGACTCATCCGCCCCACAAATCAACAGCGCAACCAAAGCTGACATAGAGGCAACGACAACGTTAGCGGGGGACAGAGACGAAGGCAAGGGCTTGCGGGTTTACTGGCTGGCTAGCTAGCTGGCTGTCAGAAACATTCACAGCCACTCGAAACAACAACTAAAAACGCAATCAGAAAGCTTGATTTTCTTCACTTGTGTCACAATTATTGAAAACATTACTGTCTACAAATATGTATACTATATTTGTTTGTATTACATTTTTATATAATTTCTATGTCAATTCAAAATCGTATGTTGTTTTTAGTCAATACCATTAATATTCAGTCAAATTATTCGTTTGGAGGGTGTGGGGCCGCGGCAACTACCAAAGAGTCGTCGTGGACGTCGCAAAAATGACGTCGCAGAAACGACAAAAGAATAAAAAAAGGTGACCAGTGCTGCTTATGGAACGCGGATGAATACAAGGTTTTTCATTGTACATATCAATACATCTCAATTACGCGCAATCAACTTACTATTCTGGATTCATTGATGACATAGTTTTTAGTTTCGGGTGGTTTTCTTTTTAAAGGTTTATTATTTTTTGCCACGAACGAAATATTCAATTTCGTTTGAGTTGCTCGGTTAAAACTGGCGAGTCTGACGGTTGTATCTTATTTCGTTTGGAGGCCTCTTGTTGTGATATAACGCGCACTGTGCACTGTGTACTCCCAAATTGTTTATTTTTTTCTAACTTCTATTTGTATTTATTGCAACGAATTTAAAGGAAATTCGATAATTTCCAACAAATTCGACAGCCGAGAACGAGAACAATGGCGACTGAAAAAATGACGAAGTGGCATTAGTGTGGTAGAGTGTCGTCAGTTGTGCCAGTAAAGTGTTGAGTAACGGCTATTGCCAGGGCTGCATCAACCAGTGCTATCTGAAATCTCCTTTGTGGGCGGTAACCACCAACAAATCTACATACATACGCACATATATGTACGTCCCTTTGTATGTATTTATTTAATGTATGTTCACCTATCAGTAATGCTGATTGGAATATTCTTTAATACTTGCACATAATCTCTTATTATAAATCATTGGACTCTAAACACAAATTATTTAACGTTTGAGAAATGTTTTGCTTGCATATATAGAACACATGTAGATAAATAGTATTACAATATTATAATATATTATATGAAGATTCGATAAGCGGGCAATGGGGAATGCGTGCAAATTTGTCTATTCCAATGAGTTCAATGTTAGCAGCTGTTTGAGCACTTTTGTCTGTGAGGTCTCGCGTATCTCGCCTGCTAAAAACATCTCATCAACGACACTATACACCTTGTAGAAATTAAATACGAGATCCAACTCGCACACATTATGAAAATACTCGTTCAGTACTTCTACAAAATTATGTATGGCCTCCAGATAGCACAGATTATTATCGTTGACGTCCACGCAAATGCAAAAGTAGAGACCCGCATAGCGTCTATACACAATTTTGAAATTACGAAACTACAAAAGGATACACAGTTAGTTATTCAGCAGAATTATAGGAGTATTTGTTTAAAATAGATTGTTATTACCTCCACAAAGTTAGTGTGCTTAGCATCTCGAACTGTGACCACAGCGTGCACCTCTTCGATTAATTTTTGTTTTTCGTCGTCATCAAAGTTCATATACCACTTGGCCAGGCGAGTTTTGCCTGCACGATTTTGTATGAGTATAAATCGGATCTGCGCACATGTTAGACGATTGAATATTCATACTCAGATTGATTATAAATATTAAGCTTACCATTTTGGAGTATGTGTACGGGTAATTACTTGAGTAACTACACTGCTATTTACAATTTTCAGTTATGAATGCAGCGAAAATCTGAATATGAGCAAATGTGTATCACTGTTGCCAGGGCTGAAGCAGCTGGCGAACAGCTGTTGAACGTGACCAGTGCTGTCTAATATCAGCATATACACATCAGTTGGCAACGCCAATTATTTAATACGATTACGACGTTTTCACTTTTTATACATATTTGTTTAGGGCCGAACTTGAAGCTAGTCATTAACACCTCAATTACCAAATAATGTTGACGTCGCGCTTAAATATTTGGTCACGCATTCAGTTGCTGCGTAAATGCAGCACCATATCATTGAGTCAACAGAAGCATGCAAATATCGAAATACATGATCCTCTCCAAGCGCACGCCTTAAAGGAGCAATGTATCCTAGTGGACGAGCAAGATAAACCCATCGGCGCTGCTACCAAGGCAGATTGCCATCGTGTGCACCCTGGAACGGGCGATGTTAAGCTGCATCGCGCTTTCAGTGTATTTCTATTTAACTCCAAAGGCGAGATGCTCGTACAAAGGCGCTCCGTGCACAAGGTAAGGATTCCGAAATCCAAATTAAAGTCTGATTAATATTAATGAGCAGCATATTTCAGATAACATTCCCAGACACATATACGAATGCTTGTTGTAGCCATCCGTTATATGACATTGAGCAGGAGAGACAAGAATCGAATGCTCTGGGCATACGTTTGGCGGCACAACGACGCTTAAACTACGAATTGGGCATACCCACGAACGAGATTGAACCAGATAACTTTAACTACTTAACGCGCATTCATTACGCAAACACGGGGGACGGCGTCTGGGGCGAGCATGAGATTGATTATATACTTTTCCTTCAAAAGGATGTAACTTTGAAGCCCAATGCCAACGAGGTTAGTGAGGTGCGCTACCTAAAAAGAGAAGAGATCGACGAGGCGATAGCTAAATTCAGTGCTCCACTGACACCTTGGTTCGCCTTGATACTACGTCATCGTCTTAAACAATGGTGGGATAATTTGCATAGACTGAAGCAGTTCGAAGACTTGAAAAACATTCAACGCTTTTAAAAGCAAAAATATTGCTGCAATCAAACCAAAAATATGTGTTGGAACCTCAGCTTTGTTATACCCTACCGGATGAGGATATTATAGCTATAGCATGAAATAGAGATACCTCCAAATTATATCTATACAACTATCTGTTTCTTTGCAAACAGCTGAAATCACAAACATAAGTCAACAGTCGGTTGTACTAGCATTAGAAAGCCTGGTATTTTAAAATATGTGAAATTTAAATTCTCATCAAAATCGAATCGAATTAAATAGCTGGCGTAGAAAATAGAAAGTATGTTTTTATATCAAATAGAAAGTCGTTTTTATCTAAATAAAATATATAAATTTATTTTTAAGTACTGAAATATATGGTATGAAAGGGTCTTCTATTGTCAACATACAACAAAAACTGCAGTCTAGTAATTTATGTAAATTCGCTTTATTTTTATTCAAATGGAAAATAGTGTGTGTGTGTGTGTGTGTGCGAAGAAAGGGCATAAAGCAATTTTCATGCACCTCTATCAGTTGATCAGTTCAGAGTACAACGTATATAGAGCATCACATATATGTTTGTTGATAAATGTATGTATATATATATATATATATATATATATATATATATATATATATATATA